TTGTTTTTGTTAAATCTCTCAATAAAACTCGTTCTCCCATCTCTACCCATTCAACAGAAAAACATGCACAAACATATTCATATTCAATCATCATCATCGTAATAAGCAAATTAGTAAAACATTAACAACAATAATGATGATGATGTAAATAACAAGTGTTTGTTGTTGCTGTTGTTAAGCTCATGTTATTTGTTTTTGTTAAATCTCTTTAATAAACTCTTTCTCCCATCTCTCCTCATTCAATAGAAAATGATGCACAAACATAACATCATAATAAGCAAATTACCAAAACATTAATAACAACAACAACGATAAGTCATTCATCCATTTGACAGTTTATTTGCCAGTCATTCTTTTTATTTGCTACAGTTTGCCGGTTATTTCATTAGTTGTCCTGTTCAAACGTTAATAAATCGTGTAAAAAGTGAAGAAATTAAAAATATTTTTGCATAAACATAAAATTTAAATGTTATTGAATAAATTTATGTAAAAATCTGGTTAAAAACTATAATAGAAATTAGTGAAAATTGCCATAGAAGTTAAAGAAATTCCCAAGCCAAAGAAATAAAAAATATGGTTTAGCAAAGTGTTGTTGTTGTTAGTATAAGTAAATAAAAAGTAATAAAAAAGAGTAATTGTGGTGTAAAGAAAAGGGGAAAATTAAAGAGTGTAGTAGTGATGTTTTATTGTTTTTGTTATTGCAAGTGTGAATTAATAAGGGGAAATTTTGCACCTGTTTAATATAAAAGAAAATCATTTAGATATTAGAAGAATATAATAAAAAGAGTAAAATTGTTAATAAAATAATTTTAAAATATTAATAAAATTAGTTTAAAATTAAGAACAATAAATATTTAAGAAAACTAAAAAATATTAAACTCCTAGGAGAAAACGCAGTTTTAAAATGAGTAAGTCAAAAATAAATGTTTTTAAAATTTATTTTTTTGTGAAAATTAATGAAAAATTAAATATTTAATAAAAATATGCATAATTTTTAATAATAAAACTTTTAGAAACTTTTTCCAGTTCTAGTTCAGTTCAGTTCTAGTTCAGTTCTAGTTCAGTTCTAGTTCAGTTCTAGTTCAGTTCTAGTTCAGTTCTAGTTCAGTTCTAGTTCAGTTCTAGTTCAGTTCTAGTTCAGTTCTAGTTCAGTTCTAGTTCAGTTCTAGTTCAGTTCTAGTTCAGTTCTAGTTCAGTTCTAATTCAGTTCTAGTTCAGTTCTAGTTCAGTTCTAGTTCAGTTCTAGTTCAGTTCTAGTTCAGTTCTAGTTAGTTCTAGTTCAGTTCTAGTTCAGTTCTAGTTCAGTTCTAGTTCAGTTCTAGTTCAGTTCTAGTTCAGTTCTAGTCAGTTCTAGTTCAGTTCTAGTTCAGTTCTAGTTCAGTTCTAGTTCAGTTCTAGTTCAGTTCTAGTTCAGTTCTAGTTCAGTTCTAGTTCAGTTCTGTTCTAGTTCAGTTCTAGTTCAGTTCTAGTTCAGTTCTAGTTCAGTTCTAGTTCAGTTCTAGTTCAGTTCTAGTTCAGTTTTAGTTCAGTTCTAGTTCAGTTCTAGTTCAGTTCTAGTTCAGTTCTAGTTCAGTTCTAGTTCAGTTCTAGTTAAGTTCTAGTTCAGTTCTAGTTCAGTTTTAGTTCAGTTCTAGTTCAATTCTAGTTCAGTTCTAGTTCAGTTTGAGGTCAGTTTGAGTTTAGCTTGAGTTCAATTTGAGTTCAGTTCTAGTTTAGTTCTAGTTTAGTTTAGTTCAGTTCTAGTTCAATTCTAGTTTAGTTTAGTTCAGTTCTAGTTCAGGTTTAGATCAGTTCTAGTTCCGAGATACTTTATTTATTTATTTTTCTTTAAATTATTTAAAGTCTTATCGAAATTATCTTTAATTTCTTGTTTGTTTTGTAATTTAAATAAAAAATATGACATTTAAAATGTTTTCGCTCTCTAGATTTATTTTCTTGCCTGCCTGAATACTAATTTATGCCGCTTAAGCATTTTATGCAACAGCATCAACATCAACTTTAACTAAGAATTATACATTTCTAGAGTTTTTTTGCAATGCCCTACAGCACGGTAACCTAACTTAATCGTACTGTAGGTCGTTGTTACAATAACTTTTTATAAAATAGTACTAAAAAAATACTTTTGAAGGGTAACAATTTAGTAGCAAAAAGTAAATACAGGGGTTTGTGGGGGCATTAAATTATCTAATACTAAATCTACTTCATAAGTTTATGAATTTTTTTTACCTTTACTAGGCGTTTACTAGGGCGTTTTAAGTACCTTTATTACCTTTCAAAAAGTACAATTACTACCACTGTCTTGCTTTTTTCCAATTTCAAGTTCTATTTTGCCATTTCCTTACACTGCAATACCTTCAGGTTCCTTCTTTATTTTTTCAAAAACTACATGAACTTGTGTCAGTAGCAGAGAATCATATGCAAGAAAAATTGTAGATTTTAAATCACGTCATACGTATACGTATTTCAAAATTGTATGGATAGCAGGCTGCAAGAAAATAAAGAAAAATATTAAACTTAAATTAAATTAAGTATATTATGCAAAAATTATTTAAATGCTAAAATAGAAAACAGGAAAAGTGAATTAATTTAAAAGATTTTCAGAAAAAATAATTAAAAAAGTGTTATGAGTTAAACGATATTAATATTAAACGTGAGCTTTTTGCTTTTGAAAAGAACAAAAGTTTTTCAATTAGAAGTTATAAGAGTTTGGAAAGAAAATTAATAAAGATGTAATAAATTTATGGAAAGTAGTAGCGGATGTAACTTTTTTTTTGGAGGAGTATCAGTATCACAAAGGGATCAGTGATGGTCAGATTCTAAAGTTGGCCGATTGGGAAACGTCTTGGAATTTAGTTTGGGTTTTGATGTCATTGGAAGTAAAAAGAAAATGTTCCATCGATGCCATTATATATGAATGTTGTCGCCTCATTGTTAAGGAATAAACTGTAAGTACTGTTGTCGGCAAAATGTTTGTGACCCACACCAGCCGGAAGCTATACAAAAGCCAGAGACCGACTACTCATGCTGAGTATACGTTTTCCGAACAAGGAAGCTAAAGAGACATCATAGCCTTGTGTGGAACTAATAAAGAGCATTGCTGTGCTTCACTAATGGATGTCCTTGGATGAATGGTAGGGATAACGAAAAGGTTAAAGGATAAAGGTTATTGTACAGTAACTAAAATACAATAATGAAGGGCCATGAAAAGTTTGGCTCTCAATAGAAGATCAGTTTTACAGATGGCAGCATCTTTTACAATGATAAGGGCTCTCTTACGGTGAGATGGAATACGAGAACATCAGAAAATTTGATGATTATAGGAAGTCCTTGGTCGTGGCACCACAGATCGCAAATCTTACAGGATTCTTACACATGTGATATCAAAGGGACCATTAAGGATATGTCTTGCAAGAATCACCCAGATGGCACCGTCTTCTACATGACCCTGCGGACCAAGTAGCTTTGCACCGATTGAAAATTACAGTTCTTTCCAATCATATGTTCACCTTAGTTTGCGACACCCAAAAGTCGCAATCAACATTGGCCTAAAGCCGACTTTCGATTACTCTTGCCATGAACACTGTCTGCTCTAAACATTTTCTTGAAGAGACTTCGAATACTCAAGAGGAACCATTGTTTGATTTTGGTTCAATTGGAACTATTCATTGATTTCGGTTCAATAGTCGGACACTGATCACTTGAAAAACGAGGCTAAATAGATGGCTCAGCTTGAAATGCATGTATTGAATAGTGATAAACCTTGTCGTCGATATTACATTGCTCGATAATCGAAGCTAACGATACATTACAATCTCAAAAGACATTTAACTTTTGTCTGAGACCCTCATCAGCCTAAGGGATCTTCATTTCGATTCGGAAACCAGATGTCGATTAATCATGCTATGAATATTGTCACCGACAGTAATAAGGAAACCAAAGAGACATCGCAGCATCAAAATGCGAAAGAAGGTTTGAAGTTTAACATATATCTTTAACCTTTAAAGTTAGGATTAATATCACAGGTGATTAAGAAAGGAACTTCATCAGCCTGTTAGCTGCTGATTCTAAAAGCAACCGATCTGTCATACAATGAACACTGTCTACGACATTGCAGTATCAGGCCACCAAACTATTTCGTATGCGATCGAACCAATCAGAATTCTTTAATCTCGGTTCGGAAACAACACCACGAATACTGTGAAAATATTGATTAGAGACCGGTGGTTCGAAATCTATCAATAAGCTCAGAATTCGATATATTAACTTTGCGCAATCACAGCCTCATTTTTCGCTTGTATTTCCCGAAATAACGGAAACGAACTCCATTTTGCTATTGGTAGCATTACCATAACTCGGAATACATTATTACTAATGTGCACACGAAGGACACACATCACTGATTGTTAAGATCAGATCCATACGCTTCAATTTAACCTCTAGAAGATAAAGTTTGTTCTGGAAACTAAACTAACAAAGAAGTGGTATCATGATGCATTCTTTGGCGATCAATACTGATTCCAATTGAAAACAAGAGAATTGATACTTTGTGAACATTTGAAGCCAGAACTTTAATGAACTGTTTGGAATTGTGTTTCGTCACATTTGAATAGTTTAAGAGTTGTTTTCATACGTCACCGATGAATGTACATAGTTCATTTAAATCACTTAAGTAAAGCTAATTTTAGCCATTAAATGTTCAAACTAAAACGTATTACCCTTGATTTAGTTAATATTAAATTCTCCACAATTAACATTTACAAAAATCACACTATTTTTAACTTTTCCCAGGCCAACCAGAAAACAAGGATAATTAAATTCATTAAGCCCATAAAACCTATTCTCTTCCCTCACTTCTACTCACTGACAGTTTTTGCATTATTAAGTAAATAACTAATTAAAAAGCATGATGTGATAACAATATTCCTTCTCACAATAACTATAAAAACCTTTAACTAGTTAACTACTGAGTTGAGTAGCATTTAAAAACTATAGCTGAAAACATGAATATTATTTCATTCTTACTCTATTGTTTTACAACTCGTCTATACTTTACTAATGCTTTGAATACAACGCAAAGACTCGATATAATACTGCCAGTTCATCTCGGAAATTATGATTTGGAATTTGTTTTCAACTTTACCCGTTACCTACATCGTATACATCGTTTTCATAGTTTTATAGCGTTTAGTGAAAAGCGTGAATACAATAGAGCGGAACATGTTATAGTAAGGCCTCTGGAACAGGCCCTAATGGAAGAGTTTCAAGTGCCAGTAGTGGTATGGGGCAGACAGACTACGGCTAAGTTACGTTATCGTATAGGTGTTAACAATTTGATATTCGTTTATATATCAAAAGTTAATGATCCTATACTCTCTGTCGTGAGCAGTACTCTGGAAGGTATACACTATATGCCCATGGTTTTCATATTTAAAAGGAAACATAATCGTCCGCCAACATTAGGGGAAATACGAGCATTTTTTGAATGGTGTTGGCAGGAGAATATATTAAATGTGGCCTTAACTTATCAAATTATGCAGAGAAAATGGAGTTATATAGATAATGCCATGAGGTTGGAAATCAAAAATGAGGTTTTCAATTACACACCCTTTCCGAAGCTAACAATTTTTAATGCTACCGAACAGGCCTATAAACATGAGGGTTCATTTATTAATGGCGATTTGCTGGATGTGCAGGGTTATAGTTTTTCAACACCCATGTTTATGGATACACCAACGGTGTTTCTGGTGAGTAGAAAGGAAAAGTTTAAAACCAATATAATTTAAAAAAATATTTTACCTCCCTAAGACCCATTATGAAAAGCATGGTAATAAACGGGTACTGTTGTTCGTAACCGGTACCGCAGGACGCACCTACCACGAATATATACATTATATTAATGGTACTATCAAAGTAAAGCCTACCCACAGTCTCAGTTATTATCATTTTCAAAAGAAAACTCTTACTTATGCTGCGAAAAAACTCATAGATATTGGTATACATCCCTATTCTTCGCTCCTGCCCTATGCCAATCTTACGGAGGGCAGTTATCCTGTGGGTTTAACCAATGCCTGTGTTATAGTGCCAGTAATACCAGAAATTGCTCATGGCCAGTATATACTCAGAGTAATGCCCGCCTTTATTTGGTTGGTATGGATAGGAGAACTGTTGGCACTTTTTATCATCCAGTGCGTGCATTTGGGACGGATAGATATCGGCAGTGGCATTATTTATTCCTTTCGTACGCTCATGTCTCAACCATTAAATATACAAGAGTTTGAAAAACGCCGGGGTTTATTAAGATCTCTGCACCTATTTGTTATACTACTAAGTGTTCTAGTTAATTCGGGGTTTAGTGCTTCTCTCACCTCTATACTAAGCACCACCCTGGTGGGTAAACAAATCAGCAGTGTAGAAGATCTCTTAGAATCAGGTTTACAAATAATGACTACTATCTACGAAAAGGAGGTATATTTTGATCAAAATCTTCTGCCTCCGGCTCTAAAACCCATTTTACATGTAGTCAATGAATCCGAGCTGCAAGAACACAAAGACAACCTTAACACCTCCTATGCCTATGTGGTCAATAGTGAAGAATGGGGTAAATATGATTTTCAACAGCAATTAATGTGGCGGCCACGCTTTCGTATTGCCCATACCAAACATCTTTGCACAGTGCAGCAGTATTTGCGTTTTCCTCTACAATGGGATTCTCCCTTTATACAGAGTCTAGAAATGTTTATTATATATACCACCGATTCTGGTCTAAGACAAGCCTGGTCTCATTGGAGCATCTATCAGGCTACACGCATGAAATTGATTAAAATTTGGAAACCTGAAGAGGAAAAGGATGAAAAACCTTTTAGTATCAGTCATTTTATAACGATTATTTTTATTTATGCTGCTTTCATGCTGGCGGCCATTTTATGTTTTATGGTTGAAGTGTTGTGGTTTAATCGGAAGATGATTTTCAAGAAAATGGAATGGAATAATAAATGAAATATTAAAGATTTAACTAAAACGCAAGTCATGTTTAAAAACACTTTAAGTAAGTGCATTAAAGAACTAAGGATACTTTTGGGAAATAAGACAAGGGAAGGATAACTAAACTTTGAAAGTGTTAATCTTAAGAATTATGTAAGAACTTGAAAAAAGCTTAAGATTCATTAGAATAAACTTTTAAAACGTTTAAAATATAATAACTTGCTGTGTTTTTATTAAGCTCCAGTCTATAGACCAGATTAAGCTTCAGTCTATAGACTAAACTCTAGTCAATGGACTAGATGATGGTCTAGTCTATAGACTAGATTAATCTTACATTTAATGACAAGATCAAGCTCATGTCTATTGACAATTTAAAGTTCTAGTCTATTGAAAAGATCAAGCTCAAATCTATTGACAAGATTATGCTGCAGAATATAGACAAGATCAAGCTCTAGTATATAGATAAGATGAAGCTTTAGTCTATAGACAAGATCAAGCTCTAGTCCATAGTCAAGATCA